ATGTAAAATAATGGAGATAAGGAAACATCGTAACAAAAAAGGTTAGGCTCCTAATACTTTTTTTGTTAACATGATGCTAATAATAGTTTCAACCAATAGAAATATTTTGTTTATATGACTTTTCAATTTTAATAAGTTGACCACAATTAATAAGGCTGAAAGCCACTAAGGGGCACGCTGGTCATTAATTAAAAATTCGGGGAATGAAACTCACATGTATTAATTTGGGGAAGTGATGCATTAATTAGGGTAGGAGATGGGGACCACCAAACACATATCACAAAAAACCACACACGTTAGAAAGGAAACCACAACCTTACCACACCATAAACTCATGAAGCAAACCACAAATCACATGGAACACACTACAAATAAGTATACCATAAGTCCCATAAAGCACGCCACAAGTTTGTTGCAGCAAACCACAAGTCACATGCATGAAGCACACCACAAGTAAGCATACTACAAGTCTCATAAACACACACCACAAGTTTGTTAAAAAAATATGATCAATTCATTCCATGCAAGTCATTGTCAGTACTTTGCACATATCGATAACTATCCCATTCTAGACCAAGTTTAACCTATAATGGAGTTGTCATATAGTGGCAATCAAGGTCGTATTTACTCGGGTCCCGGTACCATAGCCTACTTCCTACGTTGTTGTTATCTGGTCGACTAGTTTAAGGGGTTGTGTTGGAGGATTTGAGTGAAATAACTAGTAGGGAGAATAAACAAGGATAAAAGCAGGTGCATCGAGGAACTAACACTCGCCCTAGCCTAGGTCTATCATGCAAATGTCTAAACATGTTGGGTTAAGCGAATGCGGTGAGTGATCTCTTTTCCATAGGCCTTCGTGATTATCCACATGCCTTCGAGTACGCCATAACTACCCCATTGTCACCTCGGTATAGGCTCACATATCTTGGGCTTTAAGAACATAGCTCCTTTCAATGGGTACTACCCACCGTCCACACCTAGGTTTTACCTATGGTTCCATCTAGAAAGGCATTCTTGTGGCAAGGGTTCGATCGCCTCGTCCACCACAAGACCCTATTCATTCTTCTAACCCTAAATTGCCAGATGAGGCATACCCGTCTAACCCTAAAACTCTATACCCAGCGTAGAAGCTCAAGTAGGCTAATAGAGAAGATTAAGGCGGCTTACCCAAGCACTATTAAAGCTAGATGAAACATTAAAATCAACTAGACAAACACCTTCGTCCAAAACCCTATCATATTCATTCATTACTTAATAGCCCTAAAACTAGGGTTTGGAGGTTAAAACCCCTAGCACCTTAAGAGACTACTCCATAATGGAGGGAAGAAGATATATAGAAGAATTTGGGGAAGACTTGATGTCGAAGAAGATGGCTCCTCTCCTCTGGCTTCTCCTCTTCTCCTTCCTTAAGCTTCTCTCTCTGTCCTCTCTCTCTAAACCATACATTTCTATCTCAAAATTAGCTCTCTTAAAATTGGGGAAGAGGTCCTCTATTTATAGACTTCAGGAGGGCAGACAAGTTCACGGCCGAGCAGGGGGGATTCGTCGTCGTAATCTTTCCATTTGAGCTCACGATCTTCAGGCGTCATCATTTTGTTCTTCATCTTCCGGGAGTTTGCGGGCTGACTTCACAGTCGCGATCCGTGAGTCACGGCCATGAACTTTCTCGCGGTCACGGAAGACGGTGACCGTGATTTGACTATCAAAACTTCATAACTTCTCTTGGGTGGTTACTTCATGAAGTTCACGCCCAATGGCTCCATTTTTGTGGGCCACGAACTGGGGTCCTCGAGCCGCGATCTTCTCTCCTGCTTCGTGGTTTGCTGTCTCGACTGAGATCTTTCCCTTCAAACCGTGATCATCAGCTTCCTGCCCATTTCACTACACTTGTGCCATTTTTGTACCTAATTCACATGTATCTTCTAAAGCACCCTAACATGTGTGTGGCAACCGAATACACTTTAACATGTGAGGAGGATAACAGTGATTCGTGGCTCAATCAATCATGATAATCATTCAAGCATTCACACACATCCCCCCACACTTGAGCGACACATTGTCCTCAATGTGGGATATTCAAAAGAGAAGATCATGAAGGTTACCATAGGTTGGATTGTGGGTTGGTGAAGGTACACAAGTGTAGTTCTTTGTCTTCCTAGTGGTTTTCACAACGATAAACCGCATAAGAAAGAGAGGAAGACGATTACAAGACATAGGTACGATAAGTAGATAATATAATTAAGGTTACTAATACTAATAGAATATTAAAAGTACAAAAATTAAAATGAAAAGAAAGCAATAATTAAACTTTTTTTAAAGAAAAGAAAAGATAGAACTTAGGCCTTGGATGCCTAGTACTTAATCCTCCTCGGAGGGTCCTTCTTCTTCTTCTTAAAAGGGGAAGGTGAGTGAACAAATTGGTGCAATACATCCTCAATCGGAATATCCATCTTCTTCATTATAGCATGGATGCATGCCATGATATGGAGCCACTCTTCCTCTCCCTCGTTTGATTGTTAAGGATTGCCGCTATCATCACTTTGAATCGGAGATCCCTTGCCGGGTAGAGTGGTAGGGGAACCGGATGAGAATTGGATATATGTGCCTCTCCTCCCTCGTACATGCTTTCAAACTTTTCTTCCTCATTGACTATCCCTCTTAATCCTCTTACCGTCGTGGCTTCCAGAAGACGAAACACCATACCATCCATATCCAATGTGTTAGTGGTTGGAAATGGAAGTCCACGTACTCCCCAAACGCCATTGTCACTCAAATGTAACACTTTAATTCTGGATTTTAAGATATCAAAGGATATAGGAGTAGTCCTACTATCCAGCCAAAATTGCACAGCCAAGAAGTAGACATCAAAATACTTTGCAAGTCGAGTGACATAAGCTCCTCCATGAAGGGCGGTGAGTTGACGGTTCGTTTCATATCGCTTGAAGATGGATAGAATTGCCAAAACGAGGTGAAGCGATTGAGGAAGATGCATTGTTTGGAAGAAAATGAAGTCTCGGGCAGTCAAATTGCCCTTGCTTCGGTTATTTCCACCCACGGACCTAACAATCACATGGTGGATTAATCGCCACTCCGGTTTCACCTCACTAGCCTTCGATATCTTGACATCCCACGGTCGATTGTTGAACTTCTTGACTTCAGATTCATAGAAAGCCTTAAAACATGGGAAGTCAAATTCCCTTGCCACGGTGGCAAAAGCTTCCGGTGAGTCAACGAAGTTTGCTAGGTAAATATCCATGGCTCTTGTAAACTCCCAAATCGACATTTGGCGGTTCGCTGTCTCGGCTGTGCTACCGGGGGCTCTGGGGAAGTCGGAATAGGAGAGCACTCATCTTGGGGTGGGCTTACTACTTAGATGCTTTCAGTAGTTATCCGCTCCGCACTTGGCTAATTAGAAAATTACAAAAATGAAACCATTCATTTTGAACAACAAAGAGCAATTACTCAAGTCCGCCAACGGGTTCTCCAACAAGCCTTACAAGGAGCTTTAGGAACTTTGAATAGTTGTTTGACTGACGAGTTACATTTACATACTGTCAGTGCTAATATTGGCATGTTTGGGGCGATGAAAGAAATAATTGATTAGTCCTTTTCTTTTACTTCTTTTACTGTAGGCATTATTTTCCAAAAAAATAAGAAAATACTCTCCTAGTTTGAATTGGATGTTTTCTTGAAGGTCGGCAGCACCTCGCATATCTTGAATAATAAGAGTGGTAATGAATTTCAGAACAAGTATCTTGTAGATGTTCTCTTGAATGGGTGACAATTTAAGCCACTCCAACTTCTGAATCTTGGAACGAATTGCATCCTCGATCCCAAGCTGTGCAAAGAGTATCCAGCTGAATACTTAAAGCCAAAGAAGTTTGGTCTTAAATTGATCGGGGACACTGCCCAAATAAAAATGAGTAAGATACATGCCGCTCTAACATTGGCTTGACTTTCTTGATTAATTTCTTTCCCTTGTTAGAGGGAGAGAGTGATGGTGGATTCGGTTCTTCAACAACTACTTCTTTTGATCCAAATTTGCTTTTCTGCTTCCAATGGTTGTGGTGAGGATGAGAAGTTTGAGAACTTTCCATGTTGGAAGAACTCTCTCCACACGTCATTCCCTTAGTCTTGTAAGGTATCCTTCAAAACAAGTAGTACAATATGTACAAACAATCAATCCAAACATCACGTACCATAAAAAAAAACTTCTAAATAACTCTTATCATCAATTCTCTAAGGTTCCCCACACTTGAGTGAAACTAAAGCTAGGGAGGAAGTGGGGACTTAGAGGGAGATATAGTTCAGTGGAAATGAATAATCCTAGCCCACCAATGTCTCCCATGGACTCTCATGGATACATGATTGCACCATTTGAGCCGCTCCTTGTGCATGGCATGTCGGATCTCAACATGGTTCGCCTGATCAGTGATAAACTGGGTTGGGCAAGTAGAATAAGGTTTTAGGACAGTACATGGACTAGGTGGGCCAGTTTTAATTGGACCCTTCATAGCCACCCAATCCATTAGGTCACGGGTCAAATAAAAGATGACCCAAGCCTAATCATTAAACACTTGAACCCTATGAGTTCGGGTAAGGAATAACTCAATTTTAATATATTAAGTTCAAGCTATAAATTTGAATGAAATGTACACATTTCAACTTTTCTTAATTTCTCTTTCAGAGATGTTTATCTCCCATGTAAACTACTTAAGGCATTTTAGTGCAAACCAGAAGCACTGGAACTATTGGATGTTGCTTAGTGCTCCTACTTTCCCAATGCAACGAGTTAGTCTAATTATTAACATCATTGCTTTTCTATGTATATATTTGTTGCACCTTCTATCAATTCCAACATAATTGATTAACTCTTGTGTACTATATTCGAATCAACATCATTCTCAATCGTACTTAACTATCTACTTAGCTTCTGGGAATCAAAATGTACAAATAGCATGTAGCAACTGAGCATAATTAAGGCGATACTTGTTAATTACTTATACTTCATTCTTAAAAGGGTGGTACATTTTTAGAGACTGTATCAGACCCTCCACCGATCCCGCTGCTGCGACGAGTGAAACTAGCAGACAGACCAGGCTCAAGGCTTGCAGGCCAATCCAGGAGAAGGAGAACTTGGGAACTTTCGATCGGGCAATGTACATCTCGATCGGAAAGTATACGGTCAGCGGCCAAAAGGAAACTGCCCCGATAAGTGCCAGAAAGATGTTGAAGAACGGGATTAATGTGACCAAGACTGTGGTCACCGCCACGTATGCAAACCTCCAAACCACTCTGAACCCGTTGACGTGAAAGCTCGTTCCACCCAGAATTGGAATGTTAATCTGGTGGTCCGTCGTCACGAACTTGTCCTCTGGCCACCTTTGACGACAGCTCGTCTCCACGAAACTGAAAATCGGCTGTGCAAACACCTGTGGTCACACACATATATATATATAATTATTAGTTCAACGAATATCTAAAAGGCAATTCATAGCGGACTATAATTTAATTTAATTGAACTGACTTGGTAGGCGCCAACGAGGTGAATAGCCACGCAGACGTTGGCTACATTTAGGAGCCACACCGGATGATCGAATCCGGACCCGGAGAGTAAATCCCCCGGCGCGTCTTTTCCAAACGCCGCGTAGCCCACACAGCCGCAGAGGAGGTAGAAAACGGTTGTCGTTGAGATGCCCACCAAACTTGCCCGTTTCATTGCTTTGTTCTCCGCTGGGCTCGATTTCAGGGTGTCCTGCATCCAATCCATCCAAGTCTTTTATTGATTATTCTCTACAAAAAAAATTCTTTTATCGATTATTAATTAATCCTTTACTTAATATGAAACCAATATTGACTAGCTATTTACTTAATTACCTGGATCTCAATCAGAACCTCTCTGCCTCCGACACCGTCGCCGACGTCGTCGTTTTCGCCTCAACTCCTTCATTCAATTAAGTTGATTCATTAATATATATTTTTACGTAACATATGATTGCCAATATCTTAATTTCTAACCTGTAACAAGTTTGGCTACGGAGAGACCCAAGCCAATAAGGGAATACGTGAAGGACATGACGGCGGCCAGGATGGAGATCCACGACAGCTTGTGGAAGTTGGGCACCTGGGAAAGGATCAGCTGGATGCTGCCAAAGATGATCATGTACGGCGTCGTGGACACGTGGCACTTGTCCCCCTCGTGGAAACAACTCCATCTCTGAACCGACCTACATACATATGGTTATACATATATATATATATATTTAATTAGTTCAGTAAAGAAATGAAAGTTGCATCAATTGAACAAGTAAAAAGTTAATTAGATAGCGTACGTACGCCATGCTGATTGACGCGGTGATGGTGTAACCGACGGTGACGCCGACAAGGTTCGCGTACTGGGCCACGCCGCAAAACCGGACACTGAGCCCACCTAAATGGGCCCGGACCGCGTCCATGTAGGTGTAGTTGCGCTGGCCCGTGACCGGGTCCGGGTGGCGGTAGGCGTCGGCGAGCAGGGTGGAGGTGAAAAGGGTGATGAGAGAAAAGATGACGAGAACCGCCGGTCCGGCCACCCAACCCAGCTGGGCGATTGCCCAAGCCAGGGACAGAACCCCTGACCCAATCACCGCCGTGATTATGTGGGCGCTCGCCGTCACCCACGTACCTGCATTGCATACACAAGTGAATAAATGATGTTCAATATTGGTTGGGAAAATAAGTAATTAATCAAAACAATTGTATTAACCTAGAGCTGATTATGTAAGCTTTAGCTAAGTGAGAAAGTTAAACTAGCTAATCATGATACATAATAGTAGCTAGGTGGGTTCATTAACGTACCGTCGGTTTAATTTTCTTTTGTGTCGGTTACTTTCAGTTATTCAATCGTTGAATTTGCCGACAGTTAATTTAATTAACTGACGGTTTTCAAACCGACACTAATGTCGACAGATTCTCCGACCCATATAACTAATCGTCGGTAAGGAGTTTACTGTCGGTTAGAACAGACGCTAAGTGGGATAATTACTTACCGGTTCGCATCGGGCGGCCATCGTCGTCGGCTGATCTGTTGGACATCTTCTCCTTAATTACTGTCTATAAAGTAGCTTCAGAGCAACGAACAATCACTGGAGCTGATTAGTAATGGCGGGTGATTCTAATTTGGTGTTGGGAGATGAAGATTGGGATTTTAGTTTAGTAACGATGCAACGGAGAGATTCAAAATTTTCTCGACTTGGGTGTTTGCATGTAATGAGAAATCCCAATGCACGTACGTACGCTTATATAGTACATGGCCATCCTAAAGATGTACAACTCAATTTATGAGGGTTTACGTCAAACCATTAATTCAAGAATGGTGGATACGTGTAGCTAATCTCCTTGGGTGGAAGAATTGTGTAGAACAGAAGTTACTTGATATAACCAAACCAAAACTAGACGTCGTGGTCCGTCCTTGCACCTCCAAAAGGTTGTAAATGCGAGCATTTGGTTTTGGAGCAGGTGATAAACTAATTAATATGGAGTGAGTCATCAGTTCAACCACTGATAATTAAGTACACTTCAAACAACTGGGAAGGTGATCAATCTTATAACCTGTCAAATCAACAAGGGAATTAAGGGGAAATTAGTAGCCTAACATCCACATGTTAACTAACCTATCAAATCAAGCAACCAACCTATCAAAGATATTCGCAACTTCAGTAGTGTACTCGGAATGAACTCCGGGAGCAGTTTTCCTTCGGGAATGCAAATTGTGAATTTCGGGTGTATATGATAAATTATTTGTACTTATTAACCATTTATATATTTGAGTATTATTCATATGATATGCATTGTTAATACTATTAGTTTGTTGAGTGTTACTTTCAATATGAACCTTTATTTATTTAAAATTATATTTTTTTATTGCATTGATCTGAAGAAACCTGCACCATATATAAACTCTCGGAGTTCACCTCTTAAGGTAGGATCGTAATGCAAAGACGAGTTATCGATTATACGCCGAGTTACTAAGCCATTGAGTGCAATTTGAATTTTATGTTTATCATGTTACATTACTCACTCCATTTACTATGATTTTCAAGTTACTGTTTTACTGTGTGGGTGAACTTGGAGTGTGTGTATAATTAGAGAATAATATGATTCTCCTCCTTGCGAAATACCCAAAAAAAAATATATATAATTGTCAACCGAAAACAAATAAGCTTTTAAATGTTTTGGTTTAAAAAATTCACTGATTCAAATTTTTTTATTCCCGATGGCTTTTTGGTTCTATTAACCGAACCAATGGTTTCTCAATCCTGCAATCTGAGGAATAAAACATGACTATGGCGGCATGACCAACAAAAATGTAGACAATTATGTACCGTACAAATTTCTCAATTTTAAGTATTTTTAACCAGTAGTATTCTCGACTGCGATCAAGTAACCTACGGCGAAAAAGGGGTAAAAATAAAAATTCCGCTGCCGGGATTTGAACCTGGATTTCAAGGAAGTAGAAATTTGCCAATTTGCTACAGTGGATTAGTGATTGATAATGCAAACAAAGTTATTAAAGTCATTTCATAGGGCCTTTAAACGTCATCAAGAATTGGGTGCCACTTCTTTTTATCCAGCAACAACATATAGCAGTCTTCTGGACAAAAATCAACGTAATTTGGAAAAGGGTTGATCACTTGTGAGTTATGACAAACGATTGATCATATGGTATATTTTGCTTTAGGATTGAAAATTGCTATGAACTGTTTGTAACCTGTCCCTGATCCTATTGCTGACCTTGTCTGACCTGTTCTTTAAAAGTCAAGATATATAATTAACCCGTCTCGTCACTGTCTTCTTCTTGATTCTGTTTGATCCTCAAGGGTTAGGACGGGTCTGGAAGGACCGGGCCAATGGGTCGACACTATTTTTTTAAAATTATAATTTGCTACCCAAATTTATTTTTTTCTTGCAATTTAGTACCTAAATTTTGTTTTTTACAAATAAATCCATACATTTTGATGGTAAAATTATATTTTGGTACCCAAAAAATTTTATGTTTACAACTTAGTACCTAAACTTTTAAAATTTTACAAGAGGTCCAATGTGATATGAGAAATTTATTGTTGCTAAGTGCCACAGGGTCAAAAAGTGACCCGTTTCTAAGTTGTCTCATAAGTTCAAAAGTTGATCCGACCCTAAACTGACGTCGGGACGAGTCAGTGGGTTTTTATGATCAAACTTACACCCCTGCTTTGTTTGTTCCAACAATTCTCCATCATTACAAGGAAATTAATGATCTATAACTTCAATAGATTGATTGGTCATTACATTATCAGTGTTGGAACAAGATTTCACCGCTAAAAGCATTTTCAGTATTGCAATGGGACTCCACTATTAGAAAGAAAATAATGATTGCCGCTACAATTGAACGGTCGACTAGTTAACTGTTATGTCATTAGAATTGGAACAAGATTCCACCACTAAAAAGATTTCAGTTTAAATAAGGACTTTGCTATCATTTAACCGGAGTTAAATGGAACAAAAGCCCTATAAATGATCTATACATTATAGGTTTATCACTCTAAAGTTGTGTAAACAAATTTTTGTGATTTTGGAGCCTGGGGAAGAAGGAAAAATGTCAAAACACCAAAGTATTTGTCCGTGAAATACTAGTAAATCAAAAGGATGACCATGGGGCAAGGAGAGAAACATAAACACTGTAATAATCGAAATTTTTATCTTAAGGTCAATCAAAGAATCTTAGCAGTCGACCTCTTCTCTGTTTGTGGTCTTTTGATGTATAAGAATTTGTTTTTAGACAATGGGGCACGGGGAGAAACACAAACACGGTAATGATTTACTATCGAAAGAGATGAAAACTACACAAATAGACAATGGAGTTTCATATTGATTTCAAGAAGTACCATAAGTACATGCATGATACATATAAATTTTGGTTGGTTCGATTAAAAAAAATGTCACTGAAATGATGCGTGATGGAAGCGTTGGGCCTAAAATTTCACGCTTGAAAAACAAGGCTAATGTCTCTATTTCTGTTACAGATTTATTACCCTTGTGTTTGTCAAGAGTGCAATAAATTAATTTTATAATTTTATTTTTTAATTTCGGGTGGCCAACGGTGAAACGATTCATAAAGTTAATAGTGATAAGAAAGAAAAGTAATTGTTTACACTTTTAAGTGAGTCTCTTTCGATATTCCCACTAAACAGTCATTACTCATTAACAAACTGATCATTAATTCTACTTCGAAACTTGTTCTTAATATATCAATCTAAAAATGTTCTTTTTACGTTCGGAGTTGCAACTGGTAGTATCAAAACTAATTTCAGAAGCAAATAAACTGATCGATATAACCTATTCACTTTTGCTCCACCATGATCTGAGATCATTTATCAATTTCTTTCAATCCAACAAATCTCTTATCAGCCATAAAATAATTATAATATCCAAATATGTTGTCGAATAATAGTGTCATGAATGAAACCAATAAATTAATTATTTTTTGACAATTAATGAACAAGTAATGAAGTATAGTGTAGTGCCAACATATCATTATATTACTTGTAGGTGTTGAGTTTATTCTCCGTTCAAAAATATAAGATTATTTTTTCCCCTCCCAAAATTTGCCTCTGTCATGGGACAAGGGCAAAGTGCCCTCCCTCCGCCTATGCCTAAGCCCTAGACCTCCAATTTTGAGTTCTATCCCTAAACCCCAAATTGTAAACCCTAACCCTAACCTTAAATCTCTAACTCTAAATCCTTCAAATTAAAGTAAATCTTCAAATATTTTTTGTGCAAATTCAGGTGCGTTATTGTTCATCACATCATAAGTGATGATTGACATCATTTTGACATAAGTGCACCGCCATTTTAAACATGCGATATATGTCAAAATGATGTCAATCATCACTTATGATGTGATGAACAATAACGCACCTGAATTTGCACAAAAAATATTTGAAGATTTACTTTAATTTGAAGGATTTAGAGTTAGAGATTTAAGGTTAGGGTTAGGGTTTACAATTTGGGGTTTAGGGATAGAACTCAAAATTGGAGGTCTAGGGCTTAGGCATAGGCGGAGGGAGGGCACTTTGCCCTTGTCCCATGACAGAGGCAAATTTTGGGAGGGGAAAAAATAATCTTATATTTTTGAACGGAGAATAAACTCAACACCTACAAGTAATATAATGATATGTTGGCACTACACTATACTTCATTACTTGTTCATTAATTGTCAAAAAAATAATTAATTTATTGGTTTCATTCATGACACTATTATTCGACAACATATTTGGATATTATAATTATTTTATGGCTGATAAGAGATTTGTTGGATTGAAAGAAATTGATAAATGATCTCAGATCATGGTGGAGCAAAAGTGCATAGGTTATATCGATCAGTTTATTTGCTTCTGAAATTAGTTTTGATACTACCAGTTGCAACTCCGAACATAAAAGGAACATTATTAGATTGATATATTAAGAACAAGTTTCGAAGTTGAATTAATGATCAGTTTGTTAATGAGTAATGACTGTTTAGTGGGAATATCGAAAGAGACTCACTTAAAAGTGTAAACAATTAATGTATTTTGTAATTCTTTTATAATATAAAAACTCGTCGTGCTTGTTTATTCAAACAATAATTGTATTAATAGCTTATTTCTTTATCTATTAATGAATTATTTGGATATTATTAATTTTAATTTTACTTTTATTTTAAATTTTTATTATTAAATTTTTATATTTTTATATTTTGAAAAAAGGACAGGGGTAGTTCCGAATCCTGCCTCCGCCACTGGGCTTAGGGTAATCCACTAATTAGTTGTTATCATATGATATATCATCATATTACACTAATTCTACAAATTAAAATTCAAAATCCGACACCTTAAGACTAGTTTTTGAGTTGGGTGCATTGAACGCACTCATTTTTGTGGGTGCACCAAAATAGTCACCATATTATATAATGGTAAAAGAAAGTCATATATAATTAATTGTCTAAATATATTTGTTAATTTATTCGATGATTGTCTAAACTAGAAACTTAATTGTATTTAGTTTTGGGCGGGCGCGAT